GCCTGTTACTATTGTATTATGTGAACACTTATATAGTTCGATGAATATATTCTACCTTTACTGTGTAGATATCTACTCAAGCATACAAATAAAAGTGCTATGGCAATGCTTAGGCCTGTTACATATGGTTTATTGCTGTTCTCACTGTAAAACATCGCGCCAGTCCTAGATGAAAGCAGTTGGATTTAAAAAAATAGCATAACATCCAGGCGAGATGGCGATTTAGTGAGTAAACAAAACGTAAAGGGCCGAAAGTCTGATGACATTGATGCTCTTAAATAACTTATAATCACAACGGTATAATCACAACGGGAACAGTTAGCAGAGCTTTGCTTTGTTGACAGTAAGTCCCCCATGCGTCGACGCCTCTTTTGAAACATCACGTTGGCTGAAGAACGGGAGGATACATCAGGTGTTACCCTCGGTTATAGCTTCTCCAGAGAACTCTCCCTCCTCTCCCTCTCTCTCTCTTCTCTCTCCTCTCTCCTCTCTCCTCTAAATCAGTGTATCCTCGGTTACGGCTCCTCCAGACAGCCTCCTCGATAATCCATCCTCGACGAGCCTTTAGACAAATTTGTTTTCCTCCAGACGGCGCGCCGACATCCGTTTCCGGGTCGCTGCCGGAGGACCTGGGAGCCTGGGACGCGAAAATGAGAGTAATGACAAACGGCTCATTTCGGAGGACTCGCGCGCGTCTGCTTGACGCCGGGACGACCGGCCGCCCTCCCCGACAGGCGCACGGACGCGAGGGCCCGCTCATCACTGCGCACATCTGTGACCGCAGTTTTAATTTGTATTATTATTTGTATTTTCTTTTTTCTTCTTCAATGGGTTTCTAATTCAAGTGTATACTGAACTATATGTGGTTTTGTATGTTTATAAAAATGTCAATAAAAATGTAAGTGAAAACAAATAATAATTAGTGGCGTTAATTTGTTATTAACGCGTTAACTTGACAGCCCTAATATATATATATATATATATATATCAATATATCATTTACAAATAAAGATGGATGAATGCGTGTATTGTGTTATTGAGGAGAGGGTTCTGGGAAAATATGGGATAGGTTGTGTTGTGGTGTGCTTGTGTAACTTTGGCAGGGGGTGTGGGATGGGGAACACTCAAAGATTTTTATTCAGGAACAATATTTTTTCAACAGTTTTTGGATTGAGCCGATTTATTTTATTGCTTACAATTTCCCCGCATTTTGAAAACACTCACTCAGATGGAACCGATTATGCTGGCATGCATACAAAATTGTTTCGCCAGTTTGAACAGATTGGGATACACATTTTGATGGTGCACCCAGTACGCCAGTGGGTCTTTCGATCTTTCCAGCGGTGGATCAGTCATGTGCCGCTGCACCTCCACTGTAGCATCTGCTGTAGCATCTGCCGTGGCATTCCTTGCCGTCCTCGCTTCAGAAGCATCTCTGTCCAGAGTTTCCCAAAGGTTAAAACCTGAAAGACAAACATGACTGTAATCATCAGTACTGAAAGGTTTAAATGTGTACCCTTTTTTACTTGTACTTATTTTGTCCTGCATTTTATCAATTAACTATTTATAACATTACCTGTGGATGATGGATTGTCAACACTTGCTGGTGCCGGTTGAGCTAATGTGGAGGGCTGTTCTTCTGTAGGTGAGTCAGGTGGTGTGTTTTTCCTCAGTTGTGTGCAAAGTGCGGTCAGTCGTTTAACTGATGCCGCTGCCTGTACTTGATTGTAGAATCCAATTGTTTTGAATCTTGGATCCAGCAGTGTTGTCAGGGTCAATGCAATTTGGCTCTCCGTGGTGTCAAACTTGTTTTGCATAATTTACACCAAGTTCTGTCCCAGTAGTTTAGCTGTGTTGTGGCTTGTTTTTCCAATTGTGTCATACAAGTATAGCATTAACATTTTCGTCATTGGGATGATCTTGGACCCTGAGACTCTCTTCTCCTCGGAGAGTTCCACTGTTGCCTGGAAAAAGGGGGAAAGCAATTGCAGGCATGCATCTGCTGTTTCATAGTCCTCAGAGGACAGAGGTCTCACATCTGTTTTCAGCGTCGCAAGAGCTGCTCCCACTGACTGCCTCTCTTTGAAAAGGCGTTGTAGCATTAGGTAGGTGCTGTTCCAGCGGGTGTCCACTTCCTGAATAAGCTTCAGCACAGGGCGATTCATCTGCTCCTGCACTTCTCTGAGTTTCTCTTTTGCTGTTGTGCTGGTTTTAAAGAACGTGACTACTTTTCTAGCCCTTGTGCGTAGGTCTTGTAGGCCAGGAGTTGCATCCAGAGATTTCTTCACCACTAAATTTAGTGAATGAGCAAAGCAAAGTGCATGTCTTAGATTTAAACTTCTGACAGAGGCAACCATATTTGCTCCTGCATCCGTCACAATTGAGGTCACTTTGCCTTCAGTGCCCCATTCCTCCATGAGAGACCTCATTGCAGCAGTGATGTTAACCGCTGTATGAGCTTCAGGGAAAGGCAGCACTCCCAAAAGCACTGTGGCCAGCTTTGCAGAGTCATCCACATAATGGCAGGTCACTGCTAGATATGCGTCCATATTAATGGAGGTCCACATATCAGCAGTCAGGCTCACAGCCTCTACCCTCTGCATGACAGCCTTGGCCTTCGTCTTCTCCTCCTCATAGCGCTTGACCACCATCTCCTTCAGAACCCGTCTGGATGGAAGAGTGTATCTAGGATCAAGCAAGGCCACAAGCTCCTTGAAGCCACAGTCATCCACGATGGAAAAAGGCTGCGAGTCTTTCACCACCATATTCACAAGAGCCCCATCCAGCTCTCGCTTCCGGTCCACTAAAACAAAGAAATAAAGACATAAAGAATAAAAACAAAACCAAAAAAAGCAAATAAGAATTTATGTGAAATTGCACTCAAAGGAAGCAGACTTGTGAGCAGTCTATGCTTGTGAGTCATGGAATACAGTCATAGCATATTGTGTTAGTGTTACTAGTTAATAATAATATAATACATACCATGTATGTTCCCCTGGTTCACAGCAGCTCCATGTTTGGCACTGAAGTGCCTAATCATGGAGGAAGTATTCCCATGATACTTCAGTTCAGTTGAACACACCAAGCACTGAACCTGTAGAGAAAGGCATTTGTAAATACAAATGCAATTTCAGTCTATAAAGCTATAGCCTAATGGCTACATTGATCATATACATAATTGTACTTTAATGCTACTTAATATAGATTTGAGATAAACCATAGCTATAATACTGTAGTTGTCCAACCTTATCATGCGCAATCAGATTGAAGTGATCCCACATCTCAGAACGACCTCTCTTCCTGGCTGGCTCCATAATGATCCAAACGCAATACTAACAACTCAACAGCAACAAAGCAAACTACGACGACAATCCCACAGATTGCCAAATTGTGCATTTTTTGGAGCGGTTATAAAGTGTCACTTACTAAGTGACGCTCAAATTCAAACAGTTTCAACCAGTCAGAATCGAGACGAGGCAGTGCATTGAATTACCTGATTGGACGGCGAACCAGTGAGTTGATTCATTCAGGAAATGAAGCAGTTGCTGTTTCGGACGTCACATGTCACGTGATTTGAAGCAAGCTTCGAAGCACTGCTTCTATGGAATTGGAAGTCCAGGGTTGAAGCTCCGTTCGAAGCTTCAGTGTCAAACTGCCATCACTATCCAAGGCCTTCCACACTCCCAAGACCAGCCAGGCCTCTCTACCCACCCTGGAACAACTGTTTCCCACTGCCGCCATAACCAACCTCCACTCCCAGCTCCCCTTTTCTAATAAACAAATGTTACTTTCACCAGCTGATTCCATGTCATCCTTTTACATGTGTTAATAGTCCAATTCCAATAGTTAAGTAAACTATAATAATCATCCTAATGACCACAGTGGTCAGTCCACTTACCAAGGAATTTTGAGTTGAACAATTACAGGAATATTAGGTCTTCAAATAATGTAAACATATTTTAGTAAATTGTTACCATAGAACATTTGCATAATTTCTTTAACATAAAGCACGTTATCCTTCTCTAAAATAATAACATTCTGGAAACATAAAAACTCTAACTTGCAGCTGGAAATGTATTAAGAACAGTAGGGCATAATGTTCTAACAATGTTATCAAAAACATTTTAAGAATGTTTTTAGAGAACGTTATCCTACCTTTCAGAAGAACATTTTGGGAACCAAAATAAAACCTTCTGCTGAAAACGTTTTAAGAATAGTAGGGCATAATGTTCTAACAATGTTTTCAAAAACATTTTAAGAAGGTTATCACCAAACATTTTAAAAATGTTTTTAGAGAGCGTTATCCTACCTTTCAGAAGAACATTCTGGGAACCAAACAAAAACTTCCCGCTGAAAACGTTTTAAGAATAGGAGAGCATAATGTTCTAACAATGTTATCACCAAACATTTTAAGAATGTTTTTAGAGAACGTTATCCTACCTTTCAGAAGAACGTTCTGGGAACCAAACACAAACTTCCCGCTGAAAACCTTCCTAGAACAATGACTGTAACATTCTCAGAATGTTTTTAGAACCAAAAATGTCTAGCTGGGCAGTTTACTCCTTTTTCTATTTTGTATGCGATTAACTACTCTGTCTAACTATTTAAGAAAATTACCGAGCCTTTTGACGAAATTAAACCTCCACTGCAGCAGACGGGTTAAAATGTATGCTTGCCTGTAAAATATAAATGTGGCTATTGTTGCACAGCTGCTTTAACGGCGCTGTCACTCCTTGACAGATTTATAGAGCAGCTTTTCACACTTCTTGGAAATAATTCAGGAGCCGAGAGAGATCTGAGGATCCGCTGCCTGACCTCACTGTATTCACAACCTCTCACGTGGATCTTAAAGACTCTATGCTCAAGGCAAAACAAGTCGGAATAAGTTATTTTTTCATTTGTTTCATGCTTTACAGAGACTTTAAAACGGCCAAACTGAGTTAAGAAAGGACATACTGTGAGATAACGATTGTTTGCTTCGATCATTATTGACAAATATAAATCCAAACCTAAGACAAGTGTTTGCAAGTTTTAACTGTAACTTGTTGTGTAATAAATCTCAGTGACATTAATTCTGAAGTTTTTCTTTCCATGTCACATAATAGTTGCACAATAAAGCCGATTGACTGATTGAAGAAGTCCTTGTCTTGTTACTTCATAATAGTAATAATGTGAGTCGTTAAATGGCAGCTAATAATTGGAAAGGTTTTGTTTTCTTCAGAAACGAAAAGCACATTCACATTTTGGCAACAGAGCATTATTCATTGCAAAGTGTTTCACTTTCTCTATTACAACAAAATGAAATAAAATGAACAAACATCTTCCCTGTACTTCACATGCAACACATTCAAAAGCAACAGCTGATGAATAAAACACGCACATTTGGAAAACACATGCTAGGATTCAGCAAGTGACTAATGAAGCTCAGCGTAAGTTCAACCGTCTATACTCTTCATTTACTATTCCCACGTAACTACTATCTCTCCTCTCAATAAGTGATCGGGGGCGTCACTCTTCAGCTTAACCAATCACTTCGCTCTATTCCCAACAGCCTATCATAGCGCTCTGGCAAACCTTTTAAGTCTGCTCCTCCCCTCTGACAGCTGTCATTTCAGGTGTCTCTACGCAACCCCCCTCCACCCCTTTTCACCTCCTGTCCCTCTGAATCCAGGGTCAAGCTAAGCCCCTCCCCTTCAGACCGGCCCAACTATCCATTCACCACCCCGGGGTTTCATCGGATCGGTTCTCCCCTCCCGAATGATACTTCCTGCACAACGGGGCCTAATCGCCAAAATCACCATTACATTCATTTGTGTATCTCTGCAATAAATATGTATTCTTACATCAAAACCGTCTCTCCTGATTGAACAATGTTTACTGTCAGCATCCTAACACGACAACATGGCTCAGTGTTAGAATTGACTCTTTAGGTGTTAAATTAACACGGTCAGGAAGTGGGCGATGTTAAATCAACACTTAAACCTATTTATTTATAATAAAAAATACTTACTTTACTCCTACCTCGTGTCCTTTTCCCATTCTTTTTTCATGGCAGCAGCCGGACCATGACATCTGCAATTAACCTATATTTTTCAATGTTCTTTATTGCTCATTTTATTTCTTTTTTACTGTTGCTTTTCTCTTTCATTTCCTCTAACAATGTTGATTATTTTGCACCAAAACAGGCTAATTAATTAATATAATATATGAATAATAATAGATTTACAGAGATAGTGAAAAGAAAAGAACAACAAATAAATATAGTTGAAGTCAAGTCACATATATATATATTTATATATATATACACATATATTATATAATATACTTAATACGGATTCTTCTGATTCTCATTTATTGGCTTATTTGCTAATGCATGGCTTATTATAACGTATGTATACGATTTCTCTTTGACATAATGCCTGGTCAATTAGAGAAACAGGTCCAGAAGTGTTTAATAGTTTTAGTTTGCTTTGTCTGTAATTTGATTCCACAAGCTGGTCTTCGGTGGGACTTCAGTCTCTGCAGCCGGTCTCTAAATGGACATGTTTGGACTCCACATGGATGATGAAGCGATGACGGTAACCTAACAGTGAATTAACACCCTTTCAGTCTTGACACACACCAAAAATTACAACGTAATCACACAAAGTGTTTCTTCCCCTGCCTCCAGTAGGCTACTCAGCAAACAATTAAATGAATTAGCCGTGACGCTTTGCATAACGCACATCTGTGTTCTTTCATTTACCTAATATCTGTCTAAACACATGGCCTGATTGCTGCCCTGATTTTCTCACTGCCTGCATGAGCATGGACAGAAAGCTCTTTGTTAGGTTACTCCCATTTGTTTTGAGTAGCCCCGTTAAATCGAATAAATTAGGCTTTGATTAGAGACACTAAGCTCTGACTCTTAGTCAACCTCAGCTTTTATATCTCAAAACCACAGAAAAAGTTACCTTTAGCTTGCTGTGATTAAACTGACAACGCCCTTTTAATAGGTAATCAAAGATACCTCCTAGCCAAAATCATTATCATACTGGCCAAAAATAAAGTTACATTCACAAAATGGCAATGATAAAGGCACACAGAAATATTACTTTATTGTTATATTATTTTCTAGCCAGCAGTTGAGAAACATTGGTCTTGACTCACAGTGATTCATCAGCTTGTTTCATACCATTTAGTGAAATTAGGGCATCGCTTGCTTCAGATAGAAACATATTTGAAATAAAACATGTTCTGGTATTCAAGTAAAAACAAGGCTGTACATGTATCCAAAGTGATAATCCTCGAGTCCATTTGAAACACTTAATTGGACCTTTTGCTTCTTTCACAGTAATTAAAAATAAATAAAAAAGCCCTTTTATCAATAGGAAATAAACTAAATGTAATCACATAATTGACTCTTGCCACAAAGCCAAATAGCTTCGGATGAAAAATAGCATTAGTGACAATGTTAAAGAATCTGAATTGGACCCTAACCCTAAGCCCACCTGTCCATCTCAGAACCCAATTCAAGGTCTTGGTTTTCACTTATGGCGCGTTTCCACTGCAGCGCGGAGCTCGCTTTAAGCGTGCCGAGCCGTGCGGGGCCCGTTTTTGGTTGCGCTTCCACTTGGCCTAGTTTTAGCCCGGGGCTACTTTTTCACCTTTTTTCTGGCCCGACTAAATCGTGGTTCTATCGAGGCCAACAAACAGGCTGAGTCGGGCTGAGTAGGCTAAACTAGAGAGAGAATCGCTGTCGAGGGGGCTACAACTACAACAAGATGAACATATTTGACCGTCATTTAATTGTAATACACGTTTCAAAATGATGCCAAAGTAACAACATACTGATACCGGTTAGTAAAAACAATGAATTAATGCTTTGACAAGTCTGCAGACAGACGGCAGTCGAAAAACCTTTTAAAATGCGTGATCTTCTTATTATAGACACATGCATTTCCAAACATTTGGTCTACCTACGCTGTAAAATGTATTATCTCTTCGATTTACACACGGCATCTATTGCACGTCTGTCCGTCCTGGGAGAGGGATCCCTCCTCTGTTGCTCTCCCTGAGCTTTTCTCCCATTTTCCCCTTTAAACTG